TCACTCAGCCCTCTGTGAGTAGTAAACAGCCATCAGTGTGCTAATGATCCATTGTTAGGCTGATGGTCCTTCTTGAGCATGTGATCAGCTGGTTTTGGTTGTCAGCAGCAAACTGGTTGATCCACTCTGAGAAGGTGCTATTTAAGAGACTGAGCTGAAAACAGCACCTCAGACTGAGGAAGTCTCTTGGATGAGAGACGAAACGTTTCTACAATTTTTTTGCTTTGTTTTGTTTTTTGTTTTTTTTGAATGTCCAGAGGACCAGATTGAACTTTTTTGGATATGTTCTGATTTGTTACAATAATCATGTTGAATGTTCTTTATTTTTTTGTGTCTGTTCTCCATTTTAGTCCACCAGAGAGACTGAATCCAGTAGATTGTAGTACTTTTGTCTCATAACTCCTATCAACATCTAGGCATTAGCACTTTAATATCCTGAAGACACCGCTCAAGAATCCTGTTTTTGACTTAAACATTTGCTTATACAAACTGGATTCCAAAAAAGTTGGGACACTAAACAAATTGTGAATAAAAACTGAATGCAATGATGTGGTGATGGCAAATGTCAATATTTTATTCGTAATATAACCTAGAAGACAGATCAAAAGTTTAATCTGAGTAAATGTAACATTTTAAAGGAAAAATATGTTGATTCAAAATTTCACAGTGTCAACAAATCCCAAAAAAGTTGGGACAAGTAGCAATAAGTGCCTGGAAAAAGGAAATTGAGCATATAACGAACAGCTGGAAGACCAATTAACACTAATTAGGTCAATTGACAACATGATTGGGTATAAAAAGAGCTTCTCAGAGTGTCTGTCAGAGGCCAAGATGGTAATATGATCACCAATTCCACCATTGTTGCACAGAAAGATAGTGCAGCAATACCAGAATGGTGTTACCCACCGTAAAATAGCAAAGACTTTTAAGTTATCATCATCAACCGTGCATAACATCATCAAAAGATTCAGAGAATCTGGAACAATCGCTGTGCGTAAGGGTCAAGGCTGTAAAACTCTACTTGATGCTCGTGATCTCCGGGCCCTTAAACGTCCCTGCACCTCAAACAGGAATGCCACTGTCAAGGAAATAACAGAATGGGCTGAGGAATACTTCCAGAAAGCATTGTCAGTGAACACAATCCACCGTGCCTTCCGCCGTTGCCAGCTGAAACTCTACAGTGCAAAGAGGAAGCCATTTCTAAGCAAGCTCCACAAGCTCAGACGTTTGCACTGGGCCAGGGGTCATTTAAAATGGAGTGTGGCAAAATGGAAGACTGTTCTGTGGTCAGATGAGTCACGATTTGAAGTTCTTTATGGAACACTGGGATGCCATGTCATCCGGACCAGAGAGGACAAGGATATCTCAAGTTGTTATCAACGCTCTGTTCAGAAGCCTGCATCACTGATGGTATGGGGTTGCATGAGCGCTTGTGGCATGGGCAGCTTGCATGTCTGGAAAGGCACCATTAATGCAGAGAACTATGTTCAGGTTCTAGAAAAACATATGCTCCCATCTAGACGTCATCTCTTTCAGGGAAGACCCTGCATTTTTCAACACGATAATGCCAGACCACATTCTGCAGCAATCACATCATGGCTACGTAGGAGAAGGATCCGGGTACTGAAATGGCCAGCCTGCAGTCCAGATCTTTCACCTATAGAGAACATTTGGTGCATCATAAAGAGGAAGGTGTGACAAAGAAGGCCCAAGACGATTGAACAGTTAGAGGCCTGTATTAGACATGAATGGGAGAGCATTCCTATTTCTAAACTTGAGAAACTGGTCTCCTCTGTCCCCAGACATCTGTTGAGTGTTGTAAGAAGAAGGGGGGATGCCACACAGTGGTAGAAATGGACTTGTCCCAACCTTTTTGAGATTTGTTGACGCCATGAAATTTGGAAACAACAGATTTTTCCCTTAAAATGATACATTCTCTCAGTTTAAACTTTTGATCTGTGTTCTATTATGAATAAAATATTAGATGTTGGCACCTCCACATCATTGCATTCAGTTTTTATTCACAATTTGTTTAGTGTCCCAACTTTTTTGGAATCCGGTTTGTATTTTAAAATCCAAATATATATTTTATATTTTATGTTTTACCAAACACATTTTTGAAGCCAATATATACCCCAAAATATGATTTTTCTTTTTAAGTTGACAAAAACTTCAAGACTGAAAGCTGTTAATTTATATTTTAAGGACAAGAATAATTCAACAATGATTTTGTGGTTTTCTGAGGAACAGTGTTGGCTCTTGTCTTCGTGTGCGTTCTGTCTAATGTAGATGAAACTGTGACTGGAGCTGGACTGTGTTTGTGCAGGAACCTGCTGTGTAACTTGGTACGAGTGAAGCTGAGCTGCTATGAGATGGAGAAGCAGTGCTCGCTGTCAGTGGAGGACTACCTCAAGGCCTTCTTGGAGAATGAGGTCAAACCACTGTGGCCCAAAGGTTGGATGCAGACCAGGTCAGTGTGTCCTTGTTCTCTGGGCTCATCATGTTGTGTGGCCTCAGCAGAAAATCAACCCTCAACTGTGTAACGTTCAGTGAAGCTTTGGAGGAATCACTGAAACTCATCCGTCCGTCCAACCGTCCGTCCGTCCATCCATCCATCCTCTTTAGCTTTGTTTTTCTGGGTCACGGTGGTCGCTGGTGTCGACAGTAGTACGGGGGACGGGGACATGTCTCCGTCCATCAGAGACAAACGGACAACCATTCACACTCAATTTAGAGTTACCAAAGAACCTAACTTGGATGTTTTTTGGTCTGTGGGAGGAAATCAGAGAAAACTCTCACCTGCACTGGGAGAGCATGTAATCTCCACCCAGATAGGCCCCAGCTGAGTTTTGGTCCTGCATGTGCTGCCCAAATATATATTTCAACATTATTTTCTTTTGTCAGCCGTCCGACCACGGCACCCTTCCGGTTCGTTTGTTCCCAGGTGGAGAGGAAACTCACAAGCTCAATAAAATCAAGAGAGGTAAATTATTTTTACCTTTTAATGTAGGTAAGGCAGGAAAAATTACAAGCTCAGCGAGGCGTCCGTCCGACCCATCATAAACTGGAAGCGGAGGCCCCGTGCGAAAGAACGCTCCAGCTTATGTTGGCCCTTGGCTCTGCCTCCACATCCGGGGAGCGCAGCCTATCAGCGTATCAGAGGGGTGACCATATGTGACTTCATCGGCCTTATCTGTTTCTGATGGTGGATAATAGGGTGACGTTAATCTATCTAAGTGTTGGAGGCTTCAGAAACAAAAATGACTCCTCATCAGGTGTTGACCCTGGGGTCACTCGTTGTGAGCAGCTGATACTGGTCTGATCTGTTCTGAACTAGGACTTTAACAGTCTACTCAAGTAATCGACACATCGATTCCTAGGACATCTCTCGAGTTTTTAAATTTCACGTCGAGTATTAGTAGTGACGTCATTACGTCGCCGTTACATCATTGTGTCACGTGATCCGCACCGGGCGTGGGCTACAAAATGGATTCCTCCAAGCAGACGGATGGAGCGGAGCAGGCCCAGTCTTGGCAAACAGGTAGAAATGCATCGATAGTCTGGAAATATTTCACTAAAGATGAATCTTCCAGTTCAACTACCGTAAGGAAACGGAAAATGAATCAACTTCCTGACTGTTTGGAGCTCGTTGCAAACTGGTGTTACACCATATTCTGTGACCACTGTATATTGTGACCATAGGGGGTGGTGTTGCATGCACTGTTGCAGGTCACAGAATATGTTGCAACACCGGGTCCAATCGACCGAACCAGAACCAGCTTCCTTCTGATCTTGTTTCACAAACAAAAAGCAAAAAATATTAATCTCTAAACCTATAAAAAAACTATAAACATAGTAATCTCTAAAACTAAACCTAATGCGCACCACAGCTGGCGGTGGAGCGGGGTGGTCGTCCGCCCCACTGTTTTTAGTTTTGTTTTTGATGTACTGCATTTATAAGAATCGGACTGAATTTGACTTGTTTTTCTAAAACCACATTAACATTCACCAAAGTTCATGCTCAGTAATCCAAGTACAACCCAACAAGGTTCAGTCAGGTCATCTGGACGGTTTATTTTTTGCTGAGACGTTTCATCCTTCATCCAAAGGACTTCTTCAGTCTGAGGAGCCACAACAAACAGATTCTCACAAACGGCATACTCACATAGTGGGAAAAACCAGTTTGCTTGTGCTAAGATGGCCAAGGTGACTGCCCTCTCCCCCGTCAACTCCTCTGAGACATCTTAACACCAGCAAACTGGTTTTTTTCCACTATGCGAGTGTGCTGTTGTGGGAGTCAGTTTGTTTGTTGGTGGCTCCTCAGATTGAAGAAGTCCTTTGGATGAAGGATGAAACGTCTCAGCAGAAACAAAAACCGTTCAGATGACCTGACTGAACGTTGTCACATTAACTTTGTTTTATTGCAGGTTTTCAGTTTAAATATTTCCACACTAAAGGTAGAACTAGTTTCTCAGAACTGTAGTCGTATGAATGTTTAATTTGAAGTGCATCATAAAATTAAATGGTCTAAATATCACTTTCAGAGTAAGCGGTTAGTGAAAGTGAGTACATTGTCATCTTGTTATATTTGATTACAAAGTAACAAACTGTGTATTAGCTACATGCTTACAGTTTGATTTAGTTTACTTTTGTTTATATTTAAAAGCACAATAAATCTTTCACACCTAAGCAGATTGTTGGACATATTTGAGCCGGTTGGTGTGAAACTATTGATGTTTCCAACATTACAACATGCTCGAACAACACTTGTAAAGGCAAAGAGTGGTTCCTACACCTACTACCAGACTGTGATAAAGTGTGTGGGAGAAAAATCTTCTTGCTACAATGAAAGAATAATAAATGTTACTTTACTGATCAGAAACAGGAGCAGATGAACTCCAGTGAACAAAACGGTAATGAACAGATTTATTTTTAACTGCTTGGACTTAAATAAAAAGACAGGCCAGGAAATGCTGATTAAAAAAAAAAGAAATGAATACAAACAAACAAAAGAAAGATCCACAACAAAACTACAAGTTCTGCTTATTCACTTTTTTAGCTTCCGTCGTGGTGCTTGAAGGAGGATTTGGAAATATCATCCGTACATCCGTCTGTGAAAGATGTGAGTCCAATAACTTAAAAAATAAGTGAGGTACGGACTTCCATCTTGGTGTGCAGCTACATCTTAGGTGCAAGAAAGGTTCCCATCGAACATTGTGTTGCTACGTCAAAATCCAAGCTGGCCACCACTAGGCCTGTCGCGATGAACGATAAATCAATTAATCGCATGATGAATTAAAATTATCGACCTCATTTTTATTTATTGGCTTTATCATTTCTTCATGTCTCTCTCTTTCTACTGATGACAAAAAGCTCAACTCTGGTCCAACATTTTTCAGTCAGGTCATCTGGACAGTTTCTTTTTTTGTGCTGAAATGTTTCGCCTTCGATCCGGAAGGCTTCATCAGTCAAGGAAACACAACAAAACTGATTCTTCCCCCAACAGTTCTTCCCTCATTGTTGGGGGAAGAATCAGTTTTGTTGTGTGTTTCCTTGACTGATGAAGCCTTCCGGATCGAAGGCGAAACGTTTCAGCACAAAAAAAGAAACTGTCCAGATGACCTGACTGAAAAATTTTGGATTGTATACCTGGATTATTGAGCATGGACTTTGTTCTCAACTCTGGTGCTCTTCACTGACCCCTCCCTTTCTCTTTAAAATCCATTTTAATGATCCAAAATCGTGTTTTTGGATCGTTAAAAGCAGCTAAGCTGAGAAGCTAAGCTACGAGCTAAGCTAACTGGCTGGCCTCGGGGGGGGGGGACCTCTGTCTTGTTGAAGCTCCAAAATTCACAGTTGAAACTTGTGCCTTTGTGTAAAAAGTTTTTCTCTGCAAAAAGAAGCTGAGAACTTGTTTACTGATTTTTTTTTATTTTTAATTAAAAGCTTTGTGTGACAAATGCTATGCTAAAGAGCTCAAACCACACTGAGCGTCCGCCATTTTGAGAACTGAAAAAAAGGAAGGAGAGACAGCCCATGTCACGTCAAGGGGCCTCCCTCCCATTTTTCTTAAAGGGACACGCTGCTCGCTCCCTCACTAGCCATCCTCCTGTTCAAACAGTCTTATAGTCCCATCCGGTGGTCAAAAAAGATACTACATGCAAAACTAATTAACCAACATTTCTTCTTAAATTGGACAATAATTATTATTGTATATTCTAATTCTATAATTACTAATTATTGTCAAATTTCAAACAATATTATCATTTATTGCAATAATTTCTGAGACAATTAATCGCCAGCCAAATTTGTTATAGTGATAGGCCTAGCCATCACGACCATAAATATATGTAAACTGGCCACCCCAATCATTGGAGGAAATATGCCATCTAGTTTTTATACGACTTAAACCTTTAGTTTCCTCAAATGATTGGGGTGGCTGAAGGTTTATTTATGGTAACCATGCCCACCCCCTGGCTCTGCTTCTGTGTCGCTGGTGGATAAATTTACTCCCGCCACTCGCCTGGATCGGAAAGAGACGACAACCTCCCTCTGTTCTTCTACACAGTGTAACGCCTACCCACTGGAATATCTTAAAAAGTTTAGGTTTACTTGTATTCCTGTTTTTATTCTTATTATCTCCTGTCAGCGAAAGGCAAAGGTGGTGACAAGAAAGTGTGTCTGTGTGTGTTCTGTTAGCACATCATCTGTTGAACCAGTGGATGATTTGAACGAACCTTGGATGGACATCTGTAACTGATTAACCTTTGGAGGCAACATCTGGACACCACTGCTAGTCTGCCTTGGCTAACACAGAAGTGTGTGTCTGAGCGTAAATGTGTGGTAGCCGCTGAGAGACAACTCGTACTCTGGAGCACATTATATTTTAGAGGTTTGACAAAACTAACTAAACATTTCTCAACATGGTTTGATCTTAACGTAAAACTGACATGAGATAAACCAAAGTTGTTGTTTTTTCACTAAACACTTGATCAACAGTTTATAATTCAAAACTACTTAACCTCTGTCTCTTTTATTTGTTCCTGTTTTTACTGTCTTGTTAGGTTTTTATATAGTAATGAATGAGGAAAAACCCTCGAGATTTAAAACTCCTATAGTTTTATTTATGTTGGGACAGATTGATCGGGCTTGGCCTTTAAATGTGAAAGAAGAAGTAGTTCAGGTGGTGTTCTGTGTGTGTTCTCTTTGTTCTCTTTGTGTTCTCTTTGTGTTCTCTTTGCGTTCCTACAAATATTTTAGACAAAAACACGCAGATGCTTTTCTTTTCCACATCTCTGATGAGTTTTACAGCATTTGTTGGAACGTTTGAATCTTTGTCTTTCTGACGTTCTTGAACAGCGAACCCTCAGACGAGACATTTACTGGATCTGTTTCTCTGGTTTTGTCTTTCATGTTGAACGCTGCGCCACTGGGTCGTTTAGAACTCTGTTGAAGGAGAGCTTTGTCATTCACGGCCACCTCACTGGAAACCTGTAAGTGTCCTCCATGGCACACTTTATTTTACTGCCGTTACTTCTTACAGGTTCCTTTTCAGACTGAGCCTGAATGTCAGTGTTGAATGTTTGCTGGTGTTTTTTATTTTTTAATTCAGAGTAAAAAGGAGGATGGTGCCTGGACCGAAGGCCAAAGCCAAGGTGAGTGGTGCTCGACCTTTTCACTGCTCATCTTTGTTTTCAATGGTAAACTTTATAACATTTCTCCTTTTAAGAAACAGTATTGTGTTTCTAAATCAACCTGATAAGCTGAAGGAGAAGTGTTTGAGGTGATGGTGACGTCTTGCTGTGTTGCATGAATTTGTTGAGACTCATAACAAACATTAACCAAAGGCTCTGATGAAGCCGTGGTCTTCTCATGTCACTGAGAAGACCAGATGTTTGTAGTCCTCTAGAAGCTACTTCAGTCCTTATAATCATCTGAGAGGCTTCTCCTTTGTTTTATTTTCTCACTGGCAGTTCTGTGGTTATGTGTAGTTCCTCTACGTAGTCCCTCGCTACTTCGCAGTTCAACTTTCGTAGACTCACTCTTTTGTGGGTTTTCAAAGTAACATTGTACATGGCACATGATTGGCTGATTGATGGAGTGAGCCACATGAGCTAACCCTAACTCTCCTGCTGCGGGAGGGAGGTTCTCTCTGCACCACAGTTATATTTCAAACAACCCAAACAACAGTGAGTGAACTTACTGCACGCGCTCCACGCCTTGTTTCCTGTTTTTGGTGTATTTTTGTCGCAGTGTTACAACGCCACATACAGGCCTGGCGTAGTTACTAGAAAATGTGGGGTCATTTTCAGTGTTTCTGCATGGATGAAAACCTTTCTAGAAACTGCCATATTTATGAGGACATTTTCAGAAACAACACATAAAAAATGTATTTTGAAAAAACAGTTTCCGTGTGGACAAGTCCTCTTGAGAGCTCATTATGTTTTAGGTTAATCAAGGTGTTTCTTGTTTTTCAGGAGGGTCTTTGGATCAACAAACCTCTCACCATGACCTCCACCCCGTCTCTGCCCACCTCCACCTCTGTACTGATGTCCTGCCGCCCCCCACCTCCGTCCTCCTCCTCGCCCCCGGAGCCCATCTGTCTGTCAGACTCTCTGGATGAGGACTTGACTGCTCCCTCTCTGGACTCTATCTCTCACGCTCTGGCCCTCCTCAGCAGTGCATCTAAGGGCCTGGGCCTCGCAGACAGCCCCCTGTCACCCCCACCGCTGCAAATACCCACCACTTCTCCTCCACCTGTCGCCCCTCATTACCCCTCTGCCTCTCAGGTGTCTATATTGGCTACATCCACACCTCAGCATCATTCCCTGTCCAAGATGGAGGCCTCTCACCCAGTCATGGCGTCAGCTGGTAACTTGTCTGGAACGACACTAGCACACCCCTCTTCTACCTCCTCTTCCTCTCCAGTTGTGTCTTCCGTGGTCCGTGTGACCTCCTCAGGCGTGTCGTTGGCCTCCAGGACTGCAGATGGTCCGTACGCTCAAATGAAAGGCACCATGGGTCAAAGCCCAGTTCAGAGACCCGTCACCATGGCGACGTCTGCTCACAGGCCCACCTCTGTAATGGGCAAAATGCATCCTCACCCCTCTCCTTCACCTCCAAAGCAGCGGCCTCCCCCCACAGCTTCCCCTCTGCTTCCCCCTCATCAGAAAGGTTTTGCCAGCCCAGGAGGGGTCCTGGGTACACTGGGAACCAGTCAGGGACTCTCCAAGAGCAGTGCCAAAGCTGTCAGCAGCAATGGCAGTGCTGCCAGCAGCAGCATCACACCTCCCTCCTCTTCATCACAGTCCAGGTCCAACTCCACCTCCCACCATGGCCTGCAGTCCTTCTGCCCCCCCTCTTCAGCAGCCTCTTCACCGTCCCCCACCTCCCATACCTCCCATTCTTCTCAAGGTAAATCTCACACCCACCATCACCACCAGCCCAACTTCATCACCCCCATGCAGGCCACACTCACCAAGTCCTCCCACAGCAGCAACTCCTCCCCCATCATCAAACTCACCCCTCGGCCTCCTGCACCCACCCCTCCTCCCTCCTCCTCGCCTTCCCCATCATCCTCACCCTCACACCAGCTCTCCCATCAGATGATCTCCAACCAGCAGCAGCACCAGTACTCTCCCAAAACCCCCAGAACTTTCCGGCCCCCCTTCAGTGGGCAGATGAAGCAAACGCAGGGCAGCAGCAGCTTCGCCAGCACCAGTAAACCTCAGCCCGCCATGAGCAGCAGCACCATCAGCAGCAGCTCCAACAAAGGAGTTGTTTCAGACAAAACACCTGCTTCCTCTATGATTTCAGTCTCAGCCAATCAGAGGCAGAGGGTTGTGGGCAGAGCCAACCAGAGCTCAAAGGCAGGGAATGGCTGGGCAGCTTCAAGCACTTTGACCTCATCGACTACAACATCACACCTCCCACAGGTCAGAGTTCAGAGCATCTGAAGGATGTTGGTGAAAAGAGAAACAGGTTTTTATTTTTGTTGAAAGAAATGTCCCAAGTTTGTTTTTCCTGACTTTTCAGGTGTCAAACGCTGGCTCCCCCCTCCTGAACTCTGCCCTCCCCCTGGGCTTTGGGATGTTGGGGGGTCTCGTGCCCGTCTCGCTACCCTTTCAGTTCCCTTCGTTGCTCAATTTCAGCGCTCCAGGAGTCCCGGGAGCAACTAGGATGGGCTCAGCTCCCAGCTCCAACTCAGGATACCAGTTAGCACAGAGCGACCTATTGGGTGAGCTTCCACACATCTGTTCATTAAACAGGAGGCGAACACGTATACATGATCTCACTTCCTGTTTGTCAGGTTAAAGGAAAACAATTGGTTTTAGTTTTATATGAGTAGATGTAGTTATTTTTCTGTTTTAATCATTTTTAACCTGTATTTAACTATTTTTATGTTTTCTAACCTGAATGTGTGAGTTGCTCTCTGAGCTCCTTCACTTTCATTCTTATTGTAATTTCACAGCTGCCCTCACTCAAGTTTTCCATCCATCCATTATCTTTCGCTTATTCCGAAGTCGGGTCGCGGGGGCAGCAGCTTGAGCAGGAAGGTCCAGACATCTCTTTCCACAGCCTTCTCTTCCAGCTCTTCTGAGAGGATTCCAAGGCGTTCCTAAGCCAACCGAGAGACATAGTCTCTCCAGCATGTCCTGGGTCTTCCCCAGGGTCTCCTCCCAGTTGGACATGCCCGAAGCACCTCTTTAGGGAGGCACCCAGGGGGCATCCTTACCAGATGCCCGAACCACCTCAACTGGCTCCTCGACGTGGAAGAGCAGCGGTTCTACTCAGAGTCTCTCCCGAATAACTGAACTTCTCACCCTATCTCATTGGGAGAGTTCAGCTACCCTGCGGAGAACACTCATTTCAACCGCCTGTATTTGCGATCTCATTCTTTCAGTCACTACCCAGAGCTCATGACCATAGGTGAAGGTAGGAACGTAGACAGACCAGTAAACAGAGAGCTTTGCCTTACAGCTCAGCTGTCTCTTCACCACAACAGACCGGTACAGAGTCCGCAATACTGCAGATGCTGCACCAATCCGTCTGTCAATCTCGCGCTCCATTCATCCCTCTCTTGTGAACAAAACCCCGAGATACTTGAACTCCTCCACTTGAGGCAGAACTTCACCCTTGACCTGAAGAGAGCAATCCACCCTTTCCGGTTGAGGACCATGGCCTCAGATTAGGAGGTGCTGATTCTCAGCCCAGCTGCTTCACACTCAGATGTGAACCGCTCCAGTGAGTGCTGAAGATCACGGCACGATGACGCCAACAGGACCACATCATCTGCAAAGAGCAGAGAAGGAATCCTGAAGCTACCGAAACTCTCCGCCAGCTGACTGCACCGAGAAATTATGTCCATAAAAGTTATGAACAGAATCGGTGACAACGGCAGCCCTGACAGAGTCCAACTCCCACCCTGAAGGGGTCCGACTTACTGCCGGCAATGCAAACCAAGCTCTTGCACCGCTTGTATAGTTGTATAGGGACTGAACAGCCCGTAGCAATGGGCCTCCAATCCCATACTCATGGAGCACCCCCCACAGTGTACCCCGAGGAACACGGTCGAATGCCTTCTCCAAGTCCACAAAACACATGTAGACTGGATGGGCAAACTCCTATGACCCCTCAAGGACCCTAGTGAGGGTAAAGAGATGATCCAGTGTTCCATGGCCAGGACGGAACCCACATTGTTCCTCCTGGATCTGAGGTTTGACCAACAATCGGACTCGCTTCTCCAGTACCCCTGAATGGGCCTTACCAGGGACGCTAAGGAGAGTGATGCCCCTATCACACCCTCCGGTCCCCCTTTTGAAGAGAGGAACCACCACCCCAGTCTGCCTATCCAGTGGCACTGCCCCCGATGTCCACGCGACGTTGCAAAGGCGTGTCAACCAAGACAGACCCACAACATCCAGAGCCTTAAGGAAATCGGGGTGAATCTCATCCACCCCTGAAGCCCTGTCACCTCGGAGCTTTTTAACTACCTCGGCGACCTCAGCCACTGTTATGGACGGATCAACCCCAAAGTCTCCCGACTCAGCTTCCTCCATGGAAGATGTGCTGGTGGAATTGAGAAGGTCCGAGAAGTATTCCTTCCGCATCCCGACGACATCACTGGTTGAGGTCAACAGCATCCCACCTTCACTGAACACAGTGTTGGTAAAGTGCTGCTTTCCCCTCCTGAGACGCCTGATGGTTTGCCAGAATTTCCTCGGATCACTCACTCAAGTTTTATTTGATTAAAACAGCAGAGGCATGAATCTTGACCAGAAGTTATTTTGTTTGGTGTTGTCTAGGGTCCACGCTAGAGCCCGACCACTGATATTAGGAGGATAAGACTAATGCTGATAACTGATTTATTGACTATTACTATTGCCCATAGTACAACTATTAGTGATACAATACTATTTGTAGAGGTTTGCATTAAAAAAAAGTATACAGCAGGGCTATTACAAAATTGCTCGGGGGCTGGACATCCTGCGATTAAATCTATTATTATAATTTTATTATAATTATCTAAATAAACCCAAGTACACAATTATTTGTTACATATCTATATATATATATATATATATATATATATATGTATATATATATATATATATTTTTTATTTTTTTATTTTTTTTTGTATATATATATTTTTTTTTTGTATGAAGTGGGTCAGTCAGATTGAAATCACCCGCTGGACAGAAATGGCCCATGGGCCAACAGTTGAATAGCCCTGGTGTACAGTATATATATTATTTTTTCTTTTTTTTATGGGCGGCACAGTACAGCAATGGTTAGTGCTGTCACCTCACAGCAAGAGGGTCACAGGTTTGCCTCCCAGTCTTCTACGTGGAGTTAACATGGTCTCTGTGGTTTCCTCCCGCAGACTGAAAACCTGCATGTTTGGTTCTTTAGTAACTCCAAACTGTCTTCAGGTGTAAATGAGGGTGATGCAGCCGTTTGTCTCCATGTGTCCCTCTGATGGGCTTGGCGACCTGTCCAGGGTGTCCCCCACCTGTCACACTGTGAAAGAAAAAAAAAAAGGATAATTGTATCATTGTGCTGTTTAGAAGTAACCACTTTGTTCCTGCCCGTCTCCTTTTCAAACCACCGTGTCTTTGTTCTCCATCGTCTGGTCGCACCTGGACTCTGTGACGGTGTTGTTCTGCTGCCTCTGGACTTCGGTCCAACACTTTCTCTTTGTTTCCACGTGTCCTCTGATTGTAGTTGTTTCAGTCTTCCTCTCATCCGTCCTCCTTCCTTCATCTCTCCTCAGATCTGTATAAGAGCCTCCAGTCAGGGTCGCAGGCTGCCCTACCTCCTCACTTGCAGCTTGCTTTTTCAGGTAAACTTCATTCCTCCTCCTTCTTGTCCTCCTCCTCCTCACTCTCTCCATCCATCGGTGTCAGCTCAGTGTTTGTTCTGGTTTGACCTCTGATCAGTCACACGTGTGATTTAACTTGGAGATGCGTGAATAAGTTTTCACAATGAGCTGAATGTTTTAATCATGTACTTTAGTAGTTACAGTTGTTTAGTTGTCTATAAAAATATAAAAGCTGTGAGGAAATACTGTAACTACCAGCAAGTTTAAAATATCAGCCCCAGGAACCATAAATATATATATATATATATTTATCTGTCTAGAGGCTCTTATACAGATCTGA